CGGAAAGTCCTCATATGAACAGCATCTAGCATGGATAATGTAGTCAGGGCGGCAGCATTCTACATCTGAGCCTTGTACAGAGTGAGGAGGTCATGTGGAGAAAATTACTTCTTAGCCCTAAGAAAAAGCCTAGCTTTTTCTCAGCAGCTGCAGCTATAGACGAGATGTGTTCATGACAGATCAAGTCCTCGGTGATCTGGAATCAGACCAGCCAAAATTAATGGCTAATGGTAGAACTTGGCCATCCATCGAAAGCGGTGGCGCTTTTTGTTAGTCACGGTACAGTCTGTGTTTTGATGGTACACGAAAGGAGGTAAGTGGTATTTAAAAGGAAAAATGTCGGAGCCAACAGCAGTCCATGAGGATCACCCGCATTGACGCCCTGGGATGAAGAGGAGAACCCGTCAATCACGACAAATATCTTGGTCCAGAGAGAAAGTCATCCAAAGTTTCTCTGGGAGTCCATATGATGGAAGTTTGCATAAGAGGGCAGCAGGCCACAGCAACGAAATGAGCCTCACCATAAGACAGGATGACGCTCCAGGTACTTCAAAAGCTCTCGTTTTGTGCACCTTACTTATAACAGAAAACAGAGCTGTATATTCGGTATTAGATCTTTTTTTGGGATGGGTTGGACAAATCTCCAGTTTCGCCACACATCCCTTCAGTACAACGGCAGTGATCCAGTTCGGACTAGAAGCTTTGTTGATGTCAAGCAAGAGCACCCGTCTTACGGTCTTATGCCTGAATAATACTTCCCGCATGGTGTGGGAACCCTTTGAATCGACGGCACTCGGGCGTTGGAGGAGTTTGGCAGCAATGATCCTGGCAGGCACTCCCGCCTTAGCCTCCGAGTCGGTTAGAATCGATCCATCCTGGCACATGAGTGGTGGAAAGCTGCTCTGTGAGCAATTCCTTTCAATCTGCATGGCCAGCATCCAGAAATACTGACTGGCATTGCTCTGCGACATTTTTACATCCTGCTAGTGTTTCGCATTGTGCACCACTTCGCCATTATTTGTGTTTCTGGACTCGACGTCGGCTTGTCTGAGAATTTGAGTTGTGTTTGAAAGGTTGCAAATAACGAATTTAGTATCGATTTCTAAAATCAAAATAGCTTAGCCGATATGGCGGAGATTTATGCAAAAAATGCAAGTTTTGCCAGTTATTGAACAATGTTGCAAATACTCCGAATAATGGACGTTTTTTTCTGGAATCACCAGATGATGAAAAAATATCATATTGTCGTATCGGTTCTGTGTCGATTGGCAAGTAATGTCATATCATAATTATACAGGGTGGCCCATAAGTCCTTTGAGCTGGAAAAAAGGAATAAAACCAAACTAGTTACATTATGAAGAATTATTATATTTTGTTATCATCTTTATTGAATGGGAATTATGTTTTAAAAATCACATCGTCTAAATGCAATCCATTACGATCACGGCACTCATATAAACGACGTCTAAAATTGTCGATGACTGCGCGGCAAGTCAACACTGTAATGCTTGCCATTTCTCTTCGGATATTTTCTTTCAGGACATGAACTGATCGCGGAGTGGTGTCGTACACTTTACTCTTGAGGTAGCCCCATAAAAAGAAGTCCATTGGGGTCAAATCTGGACTACGTGGTGGCCAGGAAATGTCTCCTCTTCGAGAAATTACTTTGATGGGAAAAAGTTGACAGACGACGGGCATAGAAGTGTTGGAGGTGTGGGCAGTTGCTCCGTCTTGTTGAAACCAGGTCTGCGTATTATAGCCTGGAAAATTCTGCAACGCTGGTGTCAAAAACTCTTCTATCATTGCTACATACCGCTCCGAAGTAACAGTTAATGCGCGACCTCTGTCGTCCTCAAAAAAATAAGGACCTACGATGCCATGCGCTGACATAGCAGCCCAAACTGTAACTTTAGGGCTGTGTGAGGGCTTCTGATGCTTACGCTTTGGATTTTCGGGGCTCCAATAACGGCAATTTTGTTTATTTACATTCCCGTTTAAATGGAAGTGAGCCTCGTCCGAGAACAACACATTATTGAGCGAAGAAAATCGATTCAACATTTCATTCGCAAAGTTTAATCTCTGAATATCTTTTAATTCCTGCACTAACTGAATTTTTTAAGCGTGCAGACGTAAATCTTTCCTTAAAATCCGCTGTAAAGATGTTCTGGGTACGTTTAGTGCACTGGAACGCTTACGAGTAGACTGGGTAGGATTTTGACGAACAGACTGTGCCACAATGTTGATGTTTTCTTCAATACGAGTTGTCCTTGGTCGACCCCACCGCTGTTTATCTGACGTCGAACCAGGCTCTTCGAACTTAGCAACCCAGTTATTAATCGTTTGAGCTGTTGGACACTTTGTAAAATTGTGTAAATTGTGGTATTCTCGATATTTACGCCGCGCAATGGTTGCCGAATCATTATTTTGATAAAACGCGCGCACACAAAAAGCACGATCCGCTCCAGTGAAACACTCCATGGCGACTGAATTCCCAGACACTGAAGATACTGCCCTCACCTCGCCCGCGCCGCTCACGCTCACCCGTTAAATTTTATTCAAATTTGAAATTTCAAAGGACTTATGGACCACCCTGTACATACCTTTCACTCCGCAATTCATTCTCCCACATCTCAATACAGCTGGTGTATTTTAAAACCTGGCACTATTCGGGTGCACACTTTTTTCACACGAACTTCTTGCCATTTTAACGTTCACTTCACTATAATTCCGCATGGAGAGCCATCTAAGAGGAACTAATTATATCGAAAAATAAATTATACAGCCCTATACCATAAACGTACTTACGTGAAAGGCAGTAAAAGTTCATTTACTGCCTTTTTTAAATTTTGTCGCCAATACATTATTTCTTTTATGATTACAATTCTGTGGCAAATAGTTAAAAAGGTTTTTTCCGATTTATGAGATTCTTAAGTATTCGTTGAGGAGATGGCTATATAAACAACTCAGTTAAATTCTTTAAGTAGATATAAGGAAGAAATGCCATTAAAATCCTAATTAAAATTAAAGCTAGGATTGAATTCGTCTAGTCTCCTTGGCGTAAAAGCTTCAAGATGATTTGATATAATTTGAAAACGTTGCCCTTTTAACAATTTGCAGCAGAATTGAAAATATATAATTGATCACGTTATTTAATAAAAATAGTTAGTTTTTCACTTTGACAAATATTTCATATTAGCTACATTTTTTAAGCATAAAAGCACTAAGCCAATTTATCAAAACAAAAAAGCAGTAGTCTTAAAACTATACTGCTTTTATCCTCTGTATGATACAAGTACTGCCTTTTTTACCATTTTAAAACCTATTATGAGGTTTACTGATTTAGTTTTTTTATGTAATAATTCTATGATTTGTGAATAAGTATTTATCGTTACAAATAATTACTTGTGCTCCGAAAGAATAATTTTAAAAAACATTCCTCGTTTAACTTGACGTATAAGAAACCACGCTGTTTTTAGTTTGTGTATATAATTTTTGAATTGAATTATTAGATATTGGAAAGGTTTACTCTTGTGCTATTTATATGGATTTCAATATGATCAGCTCTATAGCTGATAACCGACAGGTTAAATAAAAGCCTATTATTATTGTATGAAAATAAAATTAAAATCTGCATTACTGCGATTTTCTTTCGAAAAAGTAATATAAATAGATCACGAAAACTAGGAAAAAAAGGCAGTAAATTTGGTTTTGTTGGGTATACAAGTCGTAAATCACATGTTGCTGCTTTTTGATATACAAGGTCTGTGAGAAAGAACGCATGTTTTTTAAATGAGTAGTACAGTCAAAATAAGTATGGGAAAAATATTTTATTATGAGGGAGCCATGGAATATCGCCACGACGTTAAATGAGACGTGCTGGGAATTTTTGCCATCCAAGTGCGAGCTGTGTGAGAGATGTTGCCCCGTCTTGTTGGAATCACACTGTTCTGAGACGGACACGTCGACGTCGAAGTTCCGTGAAAAAAAGTTGTTCAGCATGTGGATGTAACACTCTCAATTCGCAGTATTTTTTTCTCCATCATCCTCAAAAAAATAAGGACCAATAATCAGCGTTGGGCCTACTGCACACCAAACTGTAACTTTCGGGGTATGCAGCGGGTGCTCATGCAACTGTTGGAGGTTCACTTGAGACCAATATCGACAATTTTGTTTATTGACGTATCCATGTAAATGAAAATGTGCTTCATCACTCATAAACAACGTCATGTCATTGTTATCCAACTGTTCAATTATGAGCTGTGCAAAAGTAACACGTTGTGCATAATCCCCTGGCAACAGTTGTTGACAAACTTGAATTTTGTAAGGATGGAACACTAAATCCTTCTTCAAGATGCAACGTACACTCTGTCCACGTTTTCGGGAGTTCTAACAGTACGGTTTCGCACTGGCGGTTTTTTATTTATCACATTACCTGCTGTGTTACATGCTTCCACCCATCTCAAAATGCTGTTACGGTCTGGTACTGTCCCACGACGTGGAACACGAAAGTGAACGCGAAACTCACGTTGCGTTCAAACGACAGACTCGTCATTTTGAAAGTACCGACGTACAGTGAACATACGATGCTCAACGTTCAAAACCATCTTGCCAACTGAAACGGCACTTCTCCCACTATCCAACACGCCCTTCCCCATCGACACGGGACCAGAGATACTCGATGTAGTACCCATTCGAAAAACATGCGTTCTTTCTGAAGAACCCTGTACAACAATGAAAGACGAAATGTAATTTATTTTAGGCCTCGACAATTACACTCTACTCTATAGACTCATAAGCTATGCAATATCCATTCACATTTACTATTTATTTAGTTCAAAAAAATGGAGTCAAACACGAAAAATATCTTTTACCCAGATTTTTTGGTTCTCGAACTATTGTGTATTGTAATATACATTTTTATAAATTAGCTGCATAGTGGCAAACTTTTATTTTTGTTAGATTTAAAAAATTGAGAAATTACATGTTCTATTTCTGTGCAGGTAAAGTTGTCATGAGCTGACGCTGGCAGAACGTCCTTTGTCAAGATGACTGAGAGGGGCCAAGAAATGCACCAGGAATTCGACGAGAACACCCTGAAGCTTAACCGTCACGAAGACATCGAACTGCCGACGTTAAGCAACGTGCCAAACTTAGTGAACCAAATTTCGTACTCAAAGAACGCCCACTTGCCCGAAAGAGGGACATGGGGAAGCAAGCTAGACTTTATTTTATCTGTAGTGGGTTTAGCCATAGGTTTAGGTAACGTCTGGCGGTTCCCGTATTTGTGTTACAAGAATGGAGGAGGAGCGTTCCTGGTACCGTATTTCATCACCCTCATCTTGGCAGGCATCCCAATGTTTTTCATGGAACTCGCGCTAGGCCAAATGCTCACCATTGGAGGATTAGGAGTCTTCCAGATAGCACCTATATTCAAAGGTACAATTTAGGAAATACACATCACATGTGTATGAATGATCAGGATCAATAAGGGGTCTTTGCATTTAATAATAATAATAATAATAATAATAATAATAATAACAATAATAATAATAATCATCATCATCATCACAAAACATTAGAATAACAACATCAATCAGTAGCTGTAAAGAATGCATTAAAGAGGAGTAAATATATAGTATGAACATATACAAAGAAGAGAAACAATAGAACATGATATCGTTCAGCAAAATGAATTTATCACTCAATGTGCTGTCCAGCAAGTGCAACTTGACTGTCTTCTTGAAGCGCTGCAAACTTAAGCTCTTAGAGATAGCTGGTGAAGAATTGTATACCTTGACCGCATTATGAGTAAAGGACCTTTCAAAGACCGACGTACGATGTATAGGAATGGAAAGTAGATCATTGTGCCGCAGATTTAGAGTAATTTGGTTTTCACGAGCAATCAACTTACCTAGTAAATAGACGGGTTTACCAGTTTTAAAATTCTATGCACCAATGAAGCCATGGAATAGTTGTATAAGCTGAGCCACTGTAACTCCTTGATTTTTGAAGATACGCTACTGTACTTCCTAAGACCAAATATGAATCTGCAACAGTTGTTCTGAAGCTTCTGCAATTTTGACTTGCAAACTGAGTCTAGGCATGGGTAAATGAGGACTAGAGAGTAAGCTAAAATTGATAATATGAGGCTTTCACACAACTTTTTCCGGCACTTAAACTTTAGAATATGGCGACTAGAATATAAAAGCTTCATCTTCATATAACTCGACTTCATAATACTATTCACATGTAAGTTAAATCTAAGATTTGAATCAAATATAACACCTAGATTCTTAGCATAATCAAAAAATGGAATATTAATGTCGTTGATAAATAAGGAGACTCGATTTGTGATATTGTAATTTGAATGTTTAGGACAGTATTTGATGGATTGATGCGGAGAAAGTGTCTATTACAATACGTTATCAAGATCTAGGATAATTTTATACGATGCTTCATGTAAGTTGGATTTGTTGAAGCGGAATGCTAGTTGTGTATCGTTAGCATATATTTGAATGCAACAATGTTCTACATACTCATGCAGATCGAATGTGTATACTAGGAATAAAAGAGGTCCCAGTACTGAACCCTGTGGAGCTCCTGATGACAGATACCGTGCATCAGAAGTTCTTCTAGATGTTTTCACTCTTTGGGTGCGATCAGTTAGGTACGATCTGAAGAAATTCAAAGGAACTTCCGACATGCCATCATATTTTTGCTTACTCAAAAGAATCTCATGATTGACCGTATCTAAAGCCTTGGAAAAATCAAGCAAAACAATGCCAGACCACATGTTGCCAGAGCATCGTTAGCCTTCATGCATCAACATCGCATCAACCGTTCAGCTTGGCCACCACGATCGCCTGACCTATCTCCAATTGAACATAACTGGGATATGATAGGTCGCAGGCTCTTCAATTTGCAACACCCTCCACAGGCTTTAGCATCTCTTACTCACGAAGTTGCAGTAGCCTGGAATGAGATACCTCAGTAGGATATCGACCACCTTATCAGCACGATGATCATGTGTGTCAATGAGTGTATAAGAAATCGTGGATCCTCAACCCATTATTGAACCTGCTTCTGCAGTCAGTTGACGAATCAAGCTGAAAATTAACTAATTTTACTAGTAAGGGACACTGAACTGAAATTATTAAAATCGGATAAACATACTTAGGTGTTTACCTTTTTTTCTCACTCAGTATAGGTATTTCAGAACGTATGTATTTTAAAATTCCATCAACATTTTCTTCTTGTACTTGATTTTTATTTGAAAGTCTCAAGGTTAGCCATGGGATCAGACCGAATCCTCGGCATCAGTTTCAGCCGCATTCAGCGAAAAATACACCTTCGGTAATTCAGACGGCCTTCGGAGAAAGAAGGCTGAAAGTTTAGCCGATGGTTTTGTAAAATCACGACAAATTTTGCGGGAGTGAAACAGCAAATAATCTCGGACAGCGAATTTGGAAACAATTGGGACGCACCAGTTGCTAATACGTACGAATAATATTTTTTTTTGTTGAAACCGATTAGGCACTCTGAAATAGCCTTTAGATTCCAATTAATTCCAGTGTGTTTGTTATGTCAAATGTTCCTGCATTACAAACATAAATCACATAATCGTATGGGTCTCTAATACCTAGCCGATGGGCGATTTTTCTCAGACAGTGCCGATCGTAGGCAGGAGATAACTTTGTGGAAGTGTACTTGCCATCAAAGCTTTTTGAAGAGTGGGGGAGTAGCAAATTTTCTTAAGGGGGAGGAAGCGCAAAAATCGTTAAAATTGTACACAAAGTATGCAAAATTTAAGGTCCAACCGGATTATCAAGGGATGAGGGGGAGCGCCTATGATCTAGCCCCTCAGCGCATGGGCGTAACACTTCCTTTTTCAAATCTACAATAAAACACACTGAGACCCAAAACGTATGATCCACATTAAATAAGTGACAATACCTTTTTTCAGGAATTGGATATGCAGCTGCAGTAATGTCGTGTTGGATGAACATCTACTACATCGTGATATTAGCTTGGGCTATATTCTACTTTTTCATGTCCCTACGATCAGGTAAGTACGCAATTTAGCCTTTCCGTGAATGAATTGATGATTTTTGACTTCGTACGGGAATTAAAAAAGTTATGAAAGGAAAAAGCAAAATTGTTGGTAAAATGTCCATTTGCCTCTAAAATTTCAACCGCTGTATACCGGGTGTTCCTTAATGATATGCGATATTATTTTTAAATTCCCCGTTCAATTTAAAACAAATGATCTCTCTTGAACTATTTTCCTTCGATGCGCCATTTTTGAGTAAAAAAATAAAAACCGTTCTATTGTCTAACTTACAATTATTATTAATTTAATTGAAAAAATTAAGCACATTAGGGGTAATGAACAACAACAACTGACAACATAAACATAACATTAAAACCAACGAAATGATTACAAAAATTGTTGAAAATGGCCCCCTTCACTTAGTATACATGCTTCCGCCCTCCTTCTCATGGAATTGCGCACTCGTTGAAATATCCTTGGAGTGTTTTTCATTTTATCACAAGCAGCAACTATTCTTTCTCTTAATTCCTCTACAGTGTTAATGGGACCTGTGTACACTAGTGTCTTAAGATAGCTCCACAAAAAGAAGTATAAACTGTTGAGGTTTGGGGACTTTGGTGGCCATTCTTGGGGCCCACCGCGGCCAATCCATCGATTTGTATAAACAGTTTGTGAATAATTACGAACCGCTACACTGAAATGCGCTGGTGCACCATCATGCATGTACCACATATTGTTTCTTATTACTAACGGAACATCATCAAGCAGCAAAGGCAACTGTTGTTGAAGAACATTGAGGTTAGTCAGTCCGTCAAGTCGTCCCGCCAAGAAGAATGGGCCAATAAAGTGGTTGCCAATAATTCCTGCCCATACGTTAACCGAAAATTGGTTGGAAATGGGTTTCGGTTACGGCATAGGGATTTTCTTCTGAACACAAATGGTTATTGTGGAAATTCTGAATGGCATTTCGAGAAAAATTAGCTTCGTCCGTGAACAGAATCATTGATTCAAATTGCGGATTTTGTGTAATTTTTTGAAGATACCACTGACAAAAGGTCACACGCCTTGGAAAATCAATGGGAAGTAATGCCTGTACTCTCAAAGTATGGTAAGGATATAACAAAAAATCCACTAAAATTCTCCCAACAATTTGATGGCAAATATTTGAGTGTCTAGCGATCTTCCTCGTACTCGTTTCAGGATGTTCTTCGACTTCGTACAGCACTGCTTCCTCAATTTCAGGTGTTCTCACACTTAGAGGTCTACCTTCAGATGTTCCTTGTCGGACAGAACCAGTTTCAACAAGACGACGATGAATAATAGAAAAGGTTCGACTATCTGGCAAAGCACGATCGGGATATCTCTGGTAATAAATCCGTCTGGCTTGCTCACCATTACAGTCGGCAAGGCCATATACGTAAGGCGTTTCCGCCATTTCTGCATTTATATAATAATTCACCACTGTAAAGACTAAATAATGAAAAATATGTCACAACGAACAGATTTGAATAACAGAGACTTGTCAGATGTCAAAAGCCAGTGACATATTCCAGATCAACTAGATATTTATTGCTAAATTGCATTCTTCATTTATTACATTAATTTTCTCGAACAGAACATGTTTTTTTTACTCAAAAATGGCGCATCGAGGGAAAACAATTCAGGTGAAATCATTTGTTTTAAATTGAACGGGAAATTCAAAAATAATTTTTATCTCACAAAAAACAATTGGCGTATCATTTTTTTTAAATATCGGAGTCAATACCCGTACGCACGCCACTGTTAAAGCTAAAAATTATTTTTGCATTGAAAAATATGCAACTTTATAAACTTTCACTACGTACTAAATATCAGTGAAATATCTGAAGCAGTTCTGAAAATATTAATTAATTTCCATTTTTTCCTAAAACTTGAACACCGTGTTTTTGTAAGGGAACATTTTTGGACCATAGTTTATAAAGCAAACTAACATTAATTTTCCATGTAGACTCACACCCATATCATTAAGGAACCCTGTATATCGACGTGAATAAAAAAACAGATTATAGAGAAAATGTAGTTCTTGATAATGTATTCTGGATAATGGAAAGCATTGTGGTCAGATTTACTCAAAGTTGGAGTAATGAAACATCATTTAGTTTACCCTGTGAAAGTCAAACCGTGGATACAATCAAGAACTCACATCTATACATTCATGCCAATGAGTGTACCTGGCGCCTGCCGAAAAGATCAATACAATCGAGGTAAAAGTAAATAAATCATAGTTTGAAAAAACAAAAAAAAAACACGCTTTAATAGCTATCTGAACTAAAAAGTAGAAAATTATCTTTAATTACAAAGAGTTTGTATTACAGTAGTGGATGGTCGAACAATCAATCATAATTAATGACCTCAAAATAAAATTATAATAAGATTTAAGTTATTAACAGAATAATTCAATCCAGAGTAAAAAGCGTGGGGTGCTTGATATATTAAATGTTACAATCATTTTATTGGCAACTATCTATGAGAAGATGTAGTAAAATGCTGAGTTCAGTGTATATTTATGTGGCTTTTAACTTGATTATAAGGCGGAATGCTCCAAGTTGGCGCACAGGCACCATCATGATATTTCCAACTGTCGTTATTAACTTCCAAATTTCAGCTTGACAACTTGGCCCGTTCAAAGAAAAAGTGAGGATACCTTTTTGGACAGCAATCTATGTACTGATATTGGGTTTGAAGCCTACCATCTGCTGATGGATATCTGTCCTCGATTTCTATGTACTCATCCCATTTTAGCTAAATTTGAGTCCAGCAAATTGCGAGTTCCGGTAAAATTACCCTAATGAACGTTCCTCTTGTTTGCTATCCTCAGAAATTAGTGTGGGAGGAAAAACATGTCTACAAATATGAGATAACGCATCAGGGGTCTATTTCAATTTCATAATCATACAAAATTTGTACCATATTAAGCACGTCCTACGAGTAAATCGGTTAATCTTAATGCAAACATGGATATAAATATCTCGCATATCTGACTCGGGAAAAATTACTTGAGAAGGACGAGACTTCTATATAAAGGAAATGGTTAATTTCTTCAGGCAATTGTTGCTGTTTATAAAAAAGGTAATGAGATCAGTGCTTTACTATGAATAAAGAATATAGAACGGAAGATGCATAGAGAAGTCATTCGCATGACTTCACTACGCTCACCTATTGTGGCCAAAACAGGTAAAATGTTCGTTCTTGATAATTCCTTAGCTATCCTAGTGCTAAAACAGCGAAATACTGGTGAACTAATTCAATAAGTCACTAAAACGAACTATTTTACGCAAGTACTGAAGAAGATGTAAACTGAAGATTTTTCACAAAAAGGTGCACTCTGCACTTCCCAATGTTTTAGTATATGGAGCTCTGGACCATGAGTCTCAAAGCCCCCCGTAAAAACGCCCCTTGTTACAAATATATCTGAGCAGCTCAACGCTGGGTAACTTATCACGAGACGACACTTTTTAAAAATTCTCTCATTTAATCTGTGCTCTATAATCAAAGTATAAATTTTCAGATGTTCCGTGGAGAACTTGCAACAACTATTGGAACACGATATACTGTGTCAATCCATACGACAGAAGAGGATTGACCTGTTGGGAGAAATTCAACCCGAACAATACTTTCACGAAAATATGCCAAGTCAATCAGCATAACATTTCTGTCAACGATCTGACGGATCCTGTAAAGGAATTCTGGGAGTAAGTATTGCCATATTAATAAATAATGTTATCAGTAAAATATAAGAGCAGATTCAGCACGTAATAATTTGAAAAGTTCATATATTTGTACAAGAAGCGCCCTAGCGGTTTCAATGGATGGCCAGATCACCGAGGACTTGATCTGGAATAGTGGCAGCTGCTGGAAAAAAGCTAGGCTATTTTTTTGAAGCAAAGAAGTGCTTTTCACAACATAACATCCTCACTCCGTACAGGGCCCAAATGAGACTAGTCACATAATTGGGGTGCTACCGCTCCGACTACATTATCCATGCTCGATGCTGTACACTGACAAATCGACGACTCTTCTTTAGCGGCCAGTCTCGGGATCCTTCCGCACTGCCGCACCGTCGGTGAAGTAGTTTCCTTCTACCACTTTGTCAACAGGCTACGCACCTCAGAGCTCCATGACGTGATGAGCTTCCCAGACAGAACTGCTTGACTTCGGCCTCCATTCCTGAGCGTGTACTGGTCGATACGACCGCTCCTTTGTCGGATTGTGGAACAACTATGCCTAGGGAGGCTTTTGGCCGCTCAAAAATCCAATAAACAAACATTCTTTAAGCTCCTCATAGCAGCCGCGGAGGCCTAGTATTTAGGCTTCTGGCTAAGAGGCTGTTCGGTATAATAAAAAGAATACACTTTGCTCCAGAATTTTCCTTTTTTGATGAAATTTCACATTTAGCGAGAAAATGTAGGCCTTTTTGGGTTGCAAAAATAAGTATCGTTTTCTCAAAACCTTATTGGCTAAGCTTGAAAAGTATCTCTTGAAGTTTTGCGCTGTTGGTTAAAAAAATTGCTAGACCGAAATGCCTTTGCTATTTTATCAAGAGGATAAAAAAATGGGATATACTTATTGATAAGATAATTCTTCTTTCAAAATCAGTGCGTTTGAATGAAATGCTCTAATAGGAAAGCTGAATCAACTTGACTTTAGTATACTGATACTATTTTTTTGCAAAAAGCACTGGCACAACATTTAACATTGAAACTATATGAATACCACTGATGCTTTCGAAAACAATTCCGTTCATGTAATGTGACTTTTGACAATACATATGCATGTACCAAAACTTATCTCAATATATCGATCTGTTTTCGAGAAGAGTAGGTTGTGTTATAAACGGCCCACGATCGCCCGATAACACCAGTAAATTGACTTCGTTTGACGGAAAAGGTACGGGAATAGGAATACCTCCGCGCAGGCTACATTTTCTGCGAAAACTAGCGAAAACCTAGCATTAAGAATATTTGAGAGATTGTTTTTGCATTACTGTACCATAAGTAAATTTAACGTAGCTCTCGCGTCCCAGAATAGGACCAACGGAGGCTGCATTAGTCTTTGTTATACATGTGCGTAATTATTTTGTTTCTCAAGAGGGGTTCATTTGAACAACTTCTACTAGAACTTCATGTTATGTATACGAGAATAAAAAATATGGGAATTATATTTAGTCTATTTGAATTTGAAATCTGTTACACGCAGGTTGACTCTATTTCTCATATGCAATTGCTTTTCGTCGATTTTTTTTTCTGTGGGAAGTACAGAGTCAATCTTCTTGAAGAACTATTGTAATCGCAAAAAAATTCGAATGTGATATAGATATTGTTTTTTTCATGTTATATGATACTTACATCACAAAAGATCATGCCACTCATTTATCTGTGTCTGCCCGGTAATCCTTGGCCCTTCTATAACTTCGAACGTATGTGTTATTACTATTATGTCAAGGATGAAAAAACTTTGTAGGTTTTTTAAATGGGTCCAGTAGCGAAGGACAAAAAGGCCAAAAATGAAAAAAACCGTCGTTTTTTAACGTTTCAGAGGACTCTGATCATTTTTGAAAAAAATGTTGGAGGTATAAATTAGAGGATGGGAGTTGTAGGGGGTGGGGGTAATACCTTAGTTTTTTGATGTTAGAATAATTATATGCTCGATAATTCTAGACACCTATTAGCCATATTCCACACATCATAGGATTTGTCTTTGAAATGGTAGAGAAATGTTTTCTACACGCGTCTGCTTCTGCTATATGGACTAACAGTATGGGCCTGCTTGACTGACTTGATCCGTTTAATTTCCCTATTGTATATGTTCTTAACTGTAGAGCCAACCTGCTTGACGCCATTCTTTTCTTCCAGACGACGAGCTTTGCAAATATCAGAAGGTATAGAGCACGTGGGCTCTATCCGATGGGAGCTGGCAGGGACTTTGCTTTTTGTATGGATAATTTGCTACTTCTGCATTTGGAAAGGGGTGAAATGGACAGGCAAAGTTGTGTACTTTACGGCACTTTTCCCGTACGTTCTGCTGAGCGTTTTACTGATTCGAGGCATCACTCTGCCAGGAGCCATGGAAGGAATCAAGTTCTACGTCATGCCAAACCTTTCTAAGTTGAAGGAGTCAGAAGTATGGATTGACGCTGTCACGCAGATATTCTTCTCGTATGGCTTAGGACTTGGGACGCTGGTAGCCCTTGGTAGCTACAATAAGTTCACCAATAACGTTTACAAGTAGGTACCACGATTTGCCGTTTGTTCTGTTTTTCCTCAAAAAGATGACATAAAGTAAGTTGGTTTAAACATGATGAAATTGGATAGATTTATGGATTTCAGGCATGTAGAATAATGTTCAGTCATGGGTTTAAGATACCCACAACTCGTTATATAAATACAGGGTGTCCCAACCAAAACTATTTATGAGTTGTTATACAGGGTGTCCCGAAAAAAGTGTGCAATACTCTACCAGCGGTTTCTAGAGCTTAAAATAGGAAGAAAAGTTTATATATAAAATTAGGTCGACAAATGGCCCCTAAGGGCGCTAACGGTCTTTTAAAAGGGCTCCCCTGAAGATGGTTTTTCCTTAATATTTGTGTTGAGATAAAGACATAAAATTTGGTATTCTAGCCTAGCTTTTTATGCTGGATTTAAAAATATTAACAATTTTAGACAGTTTTGTTTGGAAGCTATGTAACAGGGACGGACTAAGGTTATTTTAGCCCCAAAATTTTTCTGTGATTCTATTTCTGAAATTCAATTTTAGAATTTAAAATGTTAGGGTTTTCTACATAAAAAATGTACTCTTATTGAATATCGATAAATTGTGCCATTTTTGAATAAAATCAAACTAAAAAATTTGTCACATTATAGGAAATGTACTGCGAATTTAAATGAATTGTTGAATAATTAGCCATGGCAACGAAAAAGCTAATTTAATGATTGGTAAATATTACATAAATACATATTTCTATTGCAACATAGTCAAAAACAAAAGAAATAATTTTTTTCTACGAACGAAATTGAAATTTGTTTAAAAAAAGACATACATTTGGATATACTTAAAACTAGCTTTACAATAAGTGTTCAAATAAATTCCCATTTTGTTGGATACAGAGTCTCGCTCGACGAACTAATGATTGCGTAGCCCGAAAAGTGAAAAACCTTTTTCTTCTTACTTCATTTGCAGCCTGATGGATTCTTTGAAGTAAATATTCTTGAGTATTTACTTCAGTCGAGTAAACTAGGTTTTTTAATGACCCCCAAAAATTGAAATCCAATGGATTTAGGTCAGGTGAACGTGGCGGCCACGCTATAGGACCTCCTCGGCCTAACCACCTGTCTGGAAAATTGACATTCAACCAATTTCGAACATTGCGTCCAAAATATGCAGGGGCGTCATCATGTTGAAAAAACATATTTTCTTGAAACTGATGGCGCACATCCAATGGTATTATATCCATGAGCTCATTCTGAAGAAAGTTCAGATACACCTCTGAATTAAGACGATTGGGAAGTACAATTGGCCCAATTACTTGATCCCCAATTACTCCTGGCCATAAGTTCAATGAAAATCTGTTGGAAATTTGTACGGTGAACAACTTTTGGATTTTCATTCCTAGTAAATATTGACTCATCCGACCATAATATTCTAGGAATCGTGTTTTCATTTGCTAATATCCACTGGCAAAACTCGATTCGTGGTAACAAATCTGCCTCCGTTAAATTCTGCACCCGTTTAAAATGATAAGGATGTAATCCTTGCATTCTTGTCATTCTTCCTATCTAAAATTATTATTTTTAGGATAACTATCAAATAGGTATTCATAAATTTTTCTTACTATTGATCGAGGTATATCCATAATTTCTGAAACATTTCGTATGCCAATTTGCGGATTATTTTCAAACATATTCATAAGATGATTTCCCAGTGGCCTTCTTGAGCCCTGAATGCGCTGAAAACGTCCATGGTTTGACAAATTCCTGTGAATATCAGTAAACATTCGACGTCCAGGTACTATGCGATTGGCAAATCTTCTTTGATATTCTCTTACGGCTGCCAATGAACTGCCATTGCAAAACCCGTACACAAAATGCATGTCAGCCAGTTCTCTGTCTGTAAGTCTGGGCATTTCAAATCGATTTAATAAAAATTTTGATTTTAATCTAGTAATTTTACACTGCTAACAATGTCAGCTTAACGTCAAAATAAGTCATAACAAATCAAAACAACTTTTGTTTGCAGTCATGGCTAACTATGTGTAATCAACAATTCATTTAAATTCGCGGCACATTTCCTAACATGTGACAAATTTTTTAGTTTGATTTTATTCAAAAATGGCACAATTTATCGATATTATCGATTTTTTATGTAGAAAACCCTAAATTTTCAAATTCTAGAATTGAATTCCAAAAATAGAATCACACAAAAATTTTGGGGCTAAAATAACCTGAGTCCGTCCCTGTTAATTACGCTTCCAAACAAAACTGCCTAAAATTGTTAATATTTCTAAAAGCAGCATAAAAAACTAGGCTAGGATACCAAATTTTATGTCTTTATCTCAACACGTTTCGGAAATATTAAGGAAACACCATCTTCAGGGGAGCCCCTTTAAAAGACCGTAGCGCCCTTAGGGGACGTTTGTCGACCTATGTTTCTTCCTATTTTGAGCTCTAGAAACCGCTGGTAGAATATTGCACACTTTTTTTGTATATGGTATCTGAATGCATATTTCTAAAATATTCATAATTGTATGTACTATCCCAATTTTAACCCGCATATCAAAGTTAATTTTTTTAACTTTTTATTACATATATTTTCATTATTCATGAAGTTTAAAGCAACATTATGACAAACATTTGAAACCATAGCAACGCTACTCAGATATTATCCAAAGCAACTGGATTATTATGTTACAAACATGTTTTATCACCATGGTATAAATAATTCCTTTTAACTTTTAAAAACAAGTATCTGGAAAACCATTAGCTTTAGACACTTCTGTCAAGTAAACCTTTTTTGTTGTATCAATACGAGAAAATGAGATTTTTCGGTTAATTGTTTCGAGATTTCCCTACCTTCCGCAGACATAATAATATGTCTTGTAAAGAAAAGTTCCAACAAAACTACCCCGTGCACTAAAAACATTGGAGCTTGTTCAAACTTAAATAACTCCACATTGTTAAGTACCAGGGCTCTGGTTATACTGTATTGTACAAAGAAAATAATAAATGTTTATTTATTTCAGGGACGCTTTGATTGTATGCTCAGTGAACTCAAGTACAAGTATGTTTGCTGGTTTCGTGATCTTCTCTGTCGTTGGATTCATGGCACATGAACAACAGAGACCCGTCGCTGACGTAGCTGCTTCAGGTAAAAAAATATTATGTTTTTAGTTGTTAAGGGTGCATAAAATCTAGTTTACTACAACTGAGGAAAATTTCAATCTCAGAAATGAAGTTTGTTCAACACAAAGATTACAAAAATCCACAGAATGGTGTAATGACCATTCAGAGCAAATGGTAATAATAATAATGTATATTTTAAATTGTACAATGACATTACAAAAATTGTATAGCCCCTACAAAATGAAATGTTGCGTCACTATCACCGTAACTATAGTAGTTTACCTGAGACCTTTTTTTGTGTTACATGGTTATTTATCTTAAAACAGCTATAATCTGAAACTACAACTCCCATAGAACTCATCTATGGTATAAGGCTCTGACTGTACTAGAGACTGCTTAATAGTCTTTTTAAATTTATGTAAACTGTTTATGTTTTTAATTTAATTTGGTAGATTTTTGAAAAACTTTAAACACATGTAAATGGGGCTTTTTTCTGTGGAGGATAATCTATGTATTGGATAATTAACATTGGCTGTTCGAGTATCATAAACAGTTTGCACCTTAAGCTCAAATAAATTTTTATTTTTGAAAAAATATGCATTAGTAACATATCAAGGTTGCCACGAAAACATATTGTTGATAACTTTCCCAGATGGCACATAAAACTACTGCTATTTTCGTTGGGACACCCTGTATAAACTCTTTTTGTAACTTTTATTTATTTAGTGTTCTATAAATGAAGGGTCGGCCTGAACAACGTTGTATATAACATTTTTCTATAAAATGAGATTTCCGTAAAACAACGTAGTATGTGCCTATTGGGACCCGTTGACAACATAGACCCGCCAGTTTACTCGCATCAATCACTGTGACGCGTATTTGTAAAGCGCGCCATTTCAGTCTTCCGCGTAACAACGTTGTATGCACGTAAGCAAAAAAGAATATCTATGGTTTATGAACCATTCCAGTGGGTCAATGTCATTGCTAAAGCCAAAGTTAAAAATCCTTTTAAAGTTGTCTGGATGCACCAAGCCTTCTTTGAGAATTTAACAGCTTTGGAATGTTGTATATGGAAATACCCCAAATGTAAAATTGCACAAGGATTGTGGCTGCAACCTACCGCTGATTCTCCAGCTACTTTGAGAATGAAAAAATCTCAAAATATTATGCAGCCCTGGAATTCATTTCCCATAAGCAATCGTAAAAGAAAAGAAACAATGACTTTTGCCACTGAAATCATATCATCTGAAAAATTACCTATAATGTATCAGAACGTTCTTCCAATCAAAGATGAAAAATTGAAAATCCTTAAGGATATGAGTGATTATATTCCGCTTAAGTATGTAACATTTTATGAGAAATTAACTGCAACCCAGTAATATTTATTTAAGTTTCAGTTTTGGTTTCGAAACACGTTGATGAACTTAGAACGTGTTTTTTTGTTATTAAAAATATGATACTGTGTACTTTGGTTCCCTTAATAAATAGAACTGCTGAAAATACTTGTTTTGCTTATAGTCATTTAAAGCCTCCCTGTAACAACATTGTAAGTATCGCGATCATACAACCTTGTTACATGCGTTTTCCATAAAAATGGTTCCCATAGCTGCAAAATAGGTATCACATTTTTAAATTACAATAACCTTGTATAACTATTGTTTCTTTATTGTGCTGGCCAACTATAGACGCAGTCATTTGAAAAAATGGTTCAAATTTGTTTTTCTTAATTTCGGCCACTGAGCTGTTTTGTTACATACAACGTTGTTCCGGTCGGCCCTTCAAATATTGCCATGATTTTCTAAATGATCTTGTATATGCCGGATTAGCAAGTGTACTGCCAATTATATTCAAATAACTTTTTTTTTCCAGGTCCTGGTCTAGCGTTCCTGGCGTACCCTTCAGCAGTATTGCAGCTTCCCGGTTCTCCGCTGTGGGCTTGTCTATTTTTCTTCATGATACTTTTAATCGGTCTAGATTCACAATTTTGTACGATGGAAGGATTTGTTACAGCCATCGTCGACGAATGGCCCGCGTTACTGCGTAAACGGAAAGAAATCTTCATTGCCATTGTTTGTGCGTTGTCGTATTTAGTGGGTCTATCCTGTATATCACAGGTAAGGTTCAACTCTATACTATCATACGTCTTAAAAGGGCCACTGCTACCATATCAGAATGGAACAGGTTAGCGTAGCTCATCGTACGCTACTGCTAACGCGGCGCGTCTTTGTATACACCTATGGGCGGATCTGATCATATTCAGAGACACACTACACCTGGTTAGCAGTGGCGTACGATGCATTGCGTTTCTCTCTTATATTATGGTACCTTACTACAGAAAAGCATCAGTGTCTACATGGTGTCCAATAAGTACCACGACAAACTTAAGGAGAAGGTAGGCTTGACCTCCCAAATAACAAAAACATTGACTATCATTTTTTTTTATATCGAAGCAGTCGCGCAGGCAGAAGCTTAAATGCCGGAACACCGCGGCTGCTATGATGATCCCAAAGAAATTTTGATAATACGATTTTTGAACTGCCTAAGGTTAGAAGAACTGGGAAAAGCTCCCTCTTGTAGATTGTTCGACAGTCTCGACACTCTCGGGACAAAGGAGCGGTCGTATCGCCCAGTTCTGGATGTACGAAGCTCGTCACGGTTAGGATGGGACGCCAAAGTTAGACGGGTCTGTCTGGCAATCACATCGCGCGGCGGCATTATGGAAGAGAGCTCTGAGGAGCAAAGCCTTTTGGTGTAGCGATAGAAAAGAGCTAGATCGCCGACGGCCCTCCGGTGCGAAAGAGTTCCGAGACTGTCTGTTAGAGAATCGTCATCGATCAGTCGGACCGCCCTCCTCTGGACAGCATCGAGCATGGATAATGTAGTCAGGGCGGCAGCACCCCAAATGTGTGAGCAATACTCGAGGCTAGGCCTTATCTGGGCCTTGTATAGAGTGAGAAGGTCATGCGGAGAAAAGCACTTAACCGTACACAAATAGCCTAGCTTTTTTACAGCAACTGCAGCTATTGACGAGATGTGTTCGTGCCAGATCAGGTCCTCGATGATCTCGACTCCGACCAGCCGAAATGAATGGCTCTTTGACAGAACTCGGTCCTTCATCGAAACCGGATGAGCGCTAGGACGGTTTTTGTTCGTCAAAATACAGTACTGTGTTTTGGGAGCACTGAACTGTACAATGTGATGGCCTCCAGGTCTCTTGTCAGAGAGGATGTCGTCGCTAGCCTCCTTTTTTCCAGCTCAGCAGCAGATATCGGCTTGTCACTCTGAATTCCTGCATGTAGAGTGCTGTCATCAGCGAAGCTGTAGATTGGGTTGATCGTGCAAGAAAGGAGGTCGTTGATATGTAAGAGAAACAGTGTCAGAGCCAAGACGATCCCTGGGGAACACCCGCGTTGACGTTGTGGGATGAAGAGGAGAACCCGTCAATTACGACGGATATCTTGCGGCCAGCCACCCATCTGCAAAGCTTTCCTGGGAGGCCATAGGATGGAAGTTTGCTTAAGAGGGCAGCGTGCCACGACTGATCGAACGCTTTCCTGATGTCAAGAGCAACGACATGGGCCTCACCATAAGACTGGATGAGTTTACTCCACAATTGCGTGACGTAAGCTAGGAGATCCCCTGTGGATCGTTGGTGCCGGAAACCATACTGCCTGTCACTAATCAAGCTGTGACGATCGAGGTAGTCCAGAAGCTCGCGATTTATGCATCTCTCCAACACCTTACTTATTTATAACAGAAAGCAGAGCTATAGGCCTGTAATTGTAGGGGTCGATCTTAGATCCCTTTTTTGGGATGGGTTGGTCATGAGCAAATTTCCAGTTTTCAGGGAAGGCGCCTGATTCATAAGATATCTGGAAGAGACGGAAAAGAACTGGAGCAAGCTCCGCTGCACACCTCTTCAGTACAATGTCAGGAATCAAGTCCGGACCAGAAGCTTTGTTGATGTCGAGCGACAAGAGCACTCGTCTTACGGTCTTATGCCTGAATGTTCCCGCAAAGTGTAGGGAACCCTTTGAATTGACGGCACTTGAGCGTTGGGGGGGGGGACGTCCATGGTGGAGTTGGCAGCAAAGATCTTGGCTAGCACTTCTGTGATGAAACAAAAATGTACTGGGCTATAACTGCAATATATTGAATAAAAAGATTGCTCATTGAATACAGATTTCAGAAAGGCACCACACGTACTATTTGGAAGTCACTGACACGCACTACAATGTAATTATTGGATTTAAATTCAAGTTGCAGTGATTACCGATCAGTGACATGCTAAATAGTACAAAGCTACATCATTATTTCCTGCCCCTGATATGATTTTATGAAAGTTGAGGAAACAGAATCAGAAGGTTATAAATCTCAAAACATTCCTTATTTTATCATGGTTCTTTAATATTCTTTAACGACATTGCATTTGCATATGATAAAGCAACTATCTAGAAGTGTTTTGTAGAAAAAATGAACAAAGTATAACCTTATTTGTATATGCAGCTAAAGACCACAGACGAAAAGGTTCGTTTTTTAAAATTTAAGAAAGCAATCAATATCTCAAAAACGGTGACACTTTTATAAATGTACGTTTTTGTTATTTGGGAGCTCAGTCCAAAGCCTACCTTCTCCTTAAGTTTGTCGTGGTACTTATTGGACACCCTGTATAGGCGAGGTTTCACATCAAAAACAAAAGTTGATGTCTCAATATAAATGTATGTATGTATATGTATTGATTTGTTTCAACATTTGTATTACTTCCTACGCTACCGGCCAAACAAATATTGTTACAGCAAAAAATTTCGAAAATTAGATATAGCGTTTTTTGGATGTTATATGACAGAAAAAGGAAAACCATGTCACTCATTTCGGTCGGTTTGTCGGTATGTATGTCCCTTCGCTAATCCTTGACCGCCTATAACCTGGAAGGTACTGCTTAGATTTGGATGATTTTTTTACACAAGGTTACTTCCATGCGAAGGACGACAAATGTTTGTAGTTTTCGAAAATCGGTCCAGTGGCGGCGAAGAAAAATCCATAAACAAAAATAAAAATCGCTTGAATTTAGTTTTTTGACGATTCAGAGCATCCTGACCATTTTTTAAAAAAAAGAGGTGTGAAAAATTAGGGGGCGAGTGATGGTGTAGAGGGTGGGGGGATCGGTGATATGGGCGCCGCGGACATAGAGCGCGTTGGCCTTGTCGCCCACCACGTTGCGAATCCCTTCCAGCAGGGTAATGGAATAAAATATAAAACCGTTTGGTGACTCAAAGTTGAACGATAAAGGTGTATCCAGCTTTTTTGAAACTATATTTATCGTTCAACGACGATTAAAACGTAAATTCATACTGTGATTTTCATTAGATGTTCCTTGAACAGTAAGAGTTGTTTAACTAAAATCGATTAGTAATTATTCATGACTCTTAAATATAGTGAGTGACAAGAAAAGCTAAACACCTACGTATATTTATTTGAATTCAAGAATTTTTTAAAATGGTCAGGTTTTTCTGTTGAGTTTTTGTGGTGGCTGCGTGTATTGTTTGGTGATAAAGAAGCATTCAGTTTTCGTACATTTACGGTGTCAATTAAATGTTAAATTTCATGTAGCTTATTGAGAAGCCTTTTTGTGATTGCCCAAAATGCCTAGAGTGCGTAGAATTCACCGGGAGTCCCAGCTAAGTGACTTTGAGAGGGGTCGAATTCTGGCTCTGAGAGACAGATTTAGTAGTACTCGAGCCATCGCTAATCAGTGATCTGAAGAGCATGAAAGGATGGTTGGTATGGGTACGATACATCGCCGAATACGACAGTTGGGCCTTTTTTCTTATCGCCCACATTGGGTGCTGCCTCTCGCAGCTTAACATCGGCGTGACCGTTTGCTCTGGTATAGTGAAAGAATTCTATCGGACCGGGAATGGAATCAGTTGGTCTTTAGTGATGGATTCCGCTTCTGTCTGGGGATGCACGATGGTCGCGCAAGAGTGAAATGGCGACGTGGTGAACGACTTGACCCACAATTTGACAGAGAGCGTTACGTTCACCACACCGTGGGAGTTATGGTATGGGGTGATATTGCTTATGGTAGCAGATACCCACTAATTTAGAGGCAATATGCCAGCCCGACGCTATATTCCATACCTAAACACGATCCAAAGCCCGATTTGTTAGCTAGACCGCAGGTTGCCAGAGCATCCTGAGCCTTCATGGATCAACATCGCATCAACCGTTTACCTTGGCCACCACGATCGCCTGACCTATCTCCAACAGATTTTAGCAGCTCTTACTCACGAAGTTGCAGTAGCCTGGAATGAGATACCCCAACAGGATATCAGGCGTATAAGAAATCCTCAACACATTATTGAACCAGCTTCTGCAGTCAATTGACGAATCAAGCTGAAAATTTAATCATTTTGCTAGTAAGGGACACTGAAAATATATGCCAAACGTTATTAAAATCGGATAAACAAGGTGTTTACCTTTTTTTCAGTCAGTATATATTTGAACACATACTATTTTTCAGGGTGGAATGTACGTCTTCCAAATACTGGACTCTTATGCCGTGAGCGGATTTTGCCTACTGTTTTTGATATTCTTCGAATGCATTTCAATATCCTGGGCCTTTGGAGTGAACAGATTCTATGATGGTATCAAGGAAATGATTGGATACTATCCAACCAGTTGGTGGAAGTTTTGTTGGGTGATTGCTACTCCTTTCATCTGTGTGGTAAGTAAAATTGATAGAAAATGGTCCTTATGACCTTGGAGAAGATAAGATAAAACATCGAACGAATTTTAAAAAGGACGTCCCAATAAGTAGTTGGGGTTACATTTTTATATAAAACCAATACTATACTACAATAGTATCAGAATGCAGAAGTATGGGAGTTGGCTTATGTATAATTTTCTCCTCCCCTCTTTATATTCTTAGACCAAAATTTTCAATAACCATTTTACTTCACGAAAAGCTTAGAAGATGAGATGTTATGTTGTATGGAAAAACATGTCACTCATTCTAGTTGTCCTCTCTGTCGGTCTGCCCGCTAATTCTTGAACCTTCTATAATTGTCAAACATACGACCGATCCATGTACAGGCATTGTCCTATGGATTGAAACATTTATTTACCCATTCTATGTTGTTATTGTTCTTATACAGGGTGTAAACGTTATGATAGTCATTAGTTAAATGGGTGATAGAGGGGGTTAAAAGAAGCAAAAAGTTTCATATAACATGGCGGTCAAACCGGCATTTTTTTTTTTAGAGAAAAGCGACTTTAAAGGTAAAATAAAATCTGACAACGCCGCAATGCCAGACGCAAAATACGATGGAACGCAGTGTAAATAAAGATGGAGTTTGTTATTTTTGCCTCTTAGGTATTATTTCATTATTTGATAATGTACTCGTAAAATGCAAACAATTAGAAAAAACGGACTTACCACTAACTGTCGCAGCGCTTCACATGGTGTGTGAAAGTTTATTGAACGCATTAGCAAAATCCATTTATAAATAAGGAACACGATTTTGATACATACATTGTTTTTCTTTTTAAAACCCACACTGCACTTTTTTGTATCTAAATAAGGTGTTCAAAATGTCGTCCTCCCCTTTCCACACACGCTTCATTACGACCTTCACCTATGAGGATTTTCTTGGGCCCACGTTTGAGTATTATGGAAATTTAATATCCCGTCTCGCATAAAAGTACATTCGTCCGTTTCTAAAAAAATCCGGATTTTCAATGTTTTTGTGCAAAAACCACTGACAGAATGTTAGTCTGCGAGGATAGTCTTCTGGTAACAAGGCCTGCACTCGTTGTACATGTTAGGGATAAAACAAATTTTCCCGTAGCATTCTATAGACTATGGTATGCGATAGTCTCGAGTGCTGATATCTGCATTGATTTCCACGATATTTAAAATTTTTTCCTCCTGTTCTACAGTAACCTGTCTTTCACGAGTGCGAATATTAGTGGGCTGAACATTTCCTGTACCTCGAAGTCTTTGGTACACTTGCACAAATGTCCTTCTGTCTGGGTGTACCCGTTGGCGAAATCTGTCGCGATAAATTTGAGCTGCAAGATTTGAATTCTGACGAGCTTTACCGTAAACTAACAACATGTCGGCGAACTCTTGAATGAATGAATGAATCTTGAAATTAGAGGCATTCCGGCCACCATAAGGAGCCAGTGCATAGGCCGCTTAAGCGGGCCCTTATGCACCTCTATAATCCTTAGATCACAAGCCTCGCCCTTTTAGCGAAGTTGAGAATCGCCTTGAGTCCAAACTCCTTGACGTCCTGAGGGTCCAAAGTAATGGACCCCAGTATAGTCTGCCTATAGTGCTCAGAGCTTCACAGCGACACAAAACGTGCGCCGAGGTCTCTTCCTCTACAACGCTGATCCTGTCTTCGCCAGAGTGTCCGCCGTCTCATTGTCCCTTATCCCAGCGTGCCAGGGTTGCCAACACTTCGGTAATCAAATCTACTAAATCACACTGCCAGATCTACCAGAAATCTACTAGATGAAAATTATGAATTTCATAAATCTACCAGAAAATTTACTAGTTATAGCTAACCCTCATTTTGCAGTTAATTACGTTTTAGGTTTTAAAGGCGTGTGCGCATATTATGTATTTTTAGTTTTTACTCTAATTTAGATCTTTGGACATATATTATTTCAAATAAGTAATACTATATTGTGAAAATATATTTTGAATATTTTGTAAATATTAAAGGTAAATCTATAAATAAAAGCAGAACATTTGGTAATATTGCAAAAATATATTTTATCTAGAAACGAAACAAAAATAGACGCATTAATTTTAGTCCTTGCACGAATAATAAAAAATACACTTTCTAAAAATAAAAATAATTCACTATTAATACAGTCAAACAAATACTGTCAAAAAATAAAAAAATTATTAGAACAAAAAAATAAATAAAAAGAAACTCCTGAGATCTAATTGAAAACGGATAGAAATAAACAATAGAAATTTACATCTTTTAAACGGGATTAGTTAAGTATATTTAACGTCTCGTCATCAAGGATGTCATTATCACTTTTCCATTCTAGTGGTTTATAGCTCTGCATATTTTTTATTTTTGCTAAAACCGCCGAAGGGATTTCATAGTCATGACAACATTTATTTACGCGTTGCAACCCAGATCTAATGTTTAAAATTGATTTTAGCATAGGTAATTTCATTCTGTTGCGCAACTTTGTTTTTATTAAATTCATTTGGCTAAAAAGCCGTTCTACTTCAGCATTTGAATTTGGCAGAACTAATAATGATAATGCCACTGTCGCTAAATCTCGAAATGGGTACTCTCCATTGCAGTCCTGCGCCGAATGAACTTCATACCAAAAATCAATAGTGTTTTGGGTATTTTCCCACTGCTTTAAAGTAATATTTTTCCACTGAATACTAACTTTTTCAATTAGCTGTGGATCATATTCGAAATGCTCGAGAATGTTTATTAAATCAGGTTTAATTACGCGCAGTGTATTTTCGACTGAAAAAATTGAGATTTGTTTTAAAATGTCAATATTATCAGGCATTCTTTGCGTGATCTCTTTAATTAATTTTGTGAGGAAACGAATGCACCTTTCTCGGAGATTTGCCTCATCTGAGAAACCGGCCTCCTTCATTTCTTTTATTTTATTTATAAGATATCCCAAATAATTGTCGCGCACAACAAATATCTCGATATCGTCGTAAAATAATTTGAAACGGCTGTTTGGTGTTGTTACTTTCTTTATTAAACAATTTAACAACATAGTCACGTCTTCCAAAAGCTTACATGACTGCGTTTTTTGCTTCAAAGGTTTTGTTCACTCTTTGAACCTCACCTAAAATTGGCTTGAGAAAACATATAAAGGCATAATTGGTATCATCTTTATACATTTCGTATAGCATTTGGGCAGTATAACATTTGTCGCTATCTTTAACAATTGAAAAATGAGTTTTCAGTTCAACCCACTGGTCAAAAATTCGTGTAACGGCAGACTCAATGGAAAGCCATCGTGTCGCTGACATCCCTGTTATTTCTAAGGGATCATTGCCTTCATTTATAGTATTATATAATTGCCTGTACTTTATTTGCCTAGAAGAAGAATGTTGAAACCAATTGTAAGTTTCTCGAATTAGGAATTCTAGATTCCTAGGTAAACACTCTTTAGCAGCTGCAGAAACTGCCAACTGCAAAGAATGGCAAATACAACGGATTAAAATTAGGTTTGGAACCGTTCTTTCAATTTTGCGTATACGCCATTGTTGATTCCCACCATGACGGACGCATTGTCAGTACCAATACCTTTTAGATTAGCAAGGTTTAAATTAAAAATTTTTAAAGTCTCTAAAACAGCATCAACAATTGCATTAGCATCACAATTTTCTAATTCTACTAAATCTAAAAATGAGTTCACTATTTGTTTCGTCTTATAACTAAAATAGATTATTGTACATCCTAAATATTTATCGACCGTAATGTCTGTTGACTCATCTAATAAAATACTAAAGGGAGAATTACCAATATCCTCACATAATTCTCTGACAAAATGTGGCGATAAAACATTTTTTATTAGATTACTACATTTGGTTCTATGCATTTGCATATTCTTAGAGACAGAGCAGTTAATAAATGCTTTTTTATACATATCTATTAAATGATCTGATATATTTATAGAGCTATGTTGGGCAATAAAAAGAGCTAATCTCCCTTCAGCAGACTTGGTATCTTCTTGGTCAGTAACAGCAGTAAATGGAATTTTTTGCTGAACTTTTCCTTGGAATGATCTCCCTAAAAAAACGCCTGCGTTTTCCTTATGCTTTTTGGATTCACCATGGCTCTTAAGGTCGCGTAACGACTCGTAATTATTTTACTACAAAATTTGCATTTAGCTTCCCTTCCTAAAGTGCTGTCAATAACCAACAGCCATTCTTTTAAACTAGGATCCTTTAACCATGCGTCTCGAAACTTTTGAGTATATTGCGGGTTAGGCATGGTTCTGTAATCTGTAATACATAATAATTCAAAGTAATCTACATCATATATGTATCAGTATCATGCTCACTTACCAAATCAAATAATTAGGCAGGCAGTCTTAAAATAGCAGAATAGTATGCTATAGCTTCTAGAAAGCACACAAATTATACTGTAAATAATGTTCAAAAATCACCTAAATCATCGTATAAGAGATAAACATCACTTGTCTGTGCAAGAAAAAGCAATGTCTGTGATTCCCGTGGATGATGCTCAGAACGTGACGTGATCAAATCACGTGACAAAAAGATGGCGGCTGAATTTCTCGCGCCATCTACCGAAGGAATTGGCAAACATCATGCAGTTAGTGATGTGCAACCCCAATAGATGTCCCAAAACGAGGCGCAAAATCGTTCATCTGACTTTCATACCCCTGATTTCCGACAAAGGAGAACTAAGAGAAGAAGTACGCATACGCAAATTAATTCATTGGTTCTGCCATCTATCGATTCGATGTTCAACTAAATCAAAATAGGATATTTCCCAATGACAGTTTGCTACTTTCTTGAATTATTACTTCAATTGACAAATTGACATGAGTAACTAAGGTTCATAATGATATAAATCGAAAGTGAATTACTAATTATTCTGATTCTTTCATTCTACTGGATTTTCTACTAGCCACTAAAACGTAAATTTTCCCACTAAATGAAGACTGCAATCTACAACCCTGCAGCGTGCCCAGGTACCCATACGGCGAACTCTTGATTCGAGAACATTGTAAATATACCCGACGACGTACGCGAACAATAACTAACCACTGTTACCCTTTGCGATCGACTGCCGGTTCGATAAGAGTGATCGACGCGCTGTTGTCATGTGTGTTTTAAATATTTAATTTAATGAAACTTACTTACTGCCTACAAATTTTTGCTTAACTCAGAAAAACTTAATGCAATTTATTTGTTAATTACCCAATTTAAAAACGTTTTAGATTAGATTATAAAAATTATTAGGATTGTGGTGATTGTGGTCGATATAAAGCACTTAAAGTTGTAAACTATAAAGCCATTTAGACAAAAATCTATTGACTTTTGGACCATGGGTCATATGAACTTTTTGACTTGTTTTGACCCCCATTTCAATAATGACTACCACAACTTTTACACCCTGTATAATGGAATAAATGAATGTCTACTACTATTCCAAGGATGGAAAAGCTTTGTAGTTAAAAAAAAAATGCCTCAAACAAATTTGTTGCTTTTGAGATGGGAAGAATCCTCCATCAATCAAAATATAGATATAGTTACCTGCATACTCATATACGTGATCATTATTTTATTTTCAGAGCGTATTTGTATTCAATCTGGTACAGTGGGCCCCAGTAAAATACTTAAATTACGAATTTCCACTATGGGCACATTTGTTTGGATGGTTGACGGCACTTACGTCCATGCTGTGTATCCCCGGATACATGGCTTGGATTTGGATAAAAACTCCAGGCGATTTTCAAACGGTAAGGGTGTAATACTTAATATTTCATCCATCATTTCTGTTATTATTCTTTCTATCAATTCATCATTCTCTTTTACTATACCTCCATTCTACTATATTATAATATTGTCTATTGTTTCATCATAGCACTTTCGACATTTAGGGTGTTACAGATTGTTGAAGGGAAAATTTAAGGGTACGTAAGAACACAAAAAGACTTCACATAAACATGGGTATGAAAATTCTCAAAGCGTTTGTTGAAGTTTTTCGTTAAAAAGGCTTCAGCTCCATTTTCAGTATTTAATAACGATAAGCAAATTATTTTCTGGTTAATAAAGTGATTTTCATTTTGAAGTCTATGCTAAACATACATCAATTTTGTATGTTTCAATGTGGCCTTTAATATGTAAAAAATCCTGAAAATGATATAGTACGTTTTTTGGTTGTAGCATTATAATTATGTACATCAAGAAAAACGATGTAACTCACGTATTACTGGCGTTTTCTGCCCGCTAATTTCGTGGCCCCGCTATAACTTGGAAAGTACCGGTCAAATTTTGATGAAGTGGGTTAAAAATTGGGGCTTGGTTGTTGTACGGGGTGGGAAGGTTTTATGTCAATTTTTTTGGGTATATTTATGCGCTTCCAGCCCCGATAATCCTGCACACCTATTGAATATATTTCACATATTATAACTCTTAAAGCTTGGAATGATAGATACCTATTTTCAACACACGCGTCGTAGCAACGCAACGCACGCAGATATACTTGCGTCGAGATCTGAGGGATATCTGATCGATACGTGTCTGGCGAGTTGCGAGGTTAGTCATAGCAACATTGCCAGATGGTCGGTGCTGTCGGTAGGGCACGGGAGAATGTTCTAGACCGTATGAACGAATTGTACGTTCTTCTTTGACTAACTTTATCTATTATTTTTTTAATATACAGGGTGGCCGATATGCAACTGACTTATGTGTATCTTGAATATTTGTGAAATAAAATAAAATAAATAAATAAATAATAAAATCGTTATTTTGGGTATTAAGCTGCAATATTGCATGACTGTATTGTCGGCGACTTTCATGGTCACTAGGCCGCAGTTCATGGGTTCTCTGAATTTTGTATGGCCGCAAATGCAAGTCTTTTTTTTAAATAGTGCATAATGACGTGCGGCGAATACCCAGTTCTTGAGAACGATGTCTGGTAGACGTCTCAGGGCGCTCCACGACACTGTCGCGAACTTTCTCGATGTTTTCCGGAGTACGAACAGTTCGAACACGGCCTTGAGAAGTCTTTAACTTCACCTGTTTCTACCGAAATCTTGTCGCTTTAACAATACGGATACGTTGTGGGATCGTGTACCGCTTCACGATGAATCGGACACATGTGCTTTAAGCCACTACTATGGCGCCACCTACTGAAACGCGAGTGTCAAAAATGGCGCGCAATTAAAATCAGTCAGTTATATATTGGCCACCCTGTACCTACCTGTAGCTACCGTTTTCAATGCCTGAATTGTTCTTCATTCACTGATGACAGCGTCAAGACATATGACGCTATTTTTACTTATTCTGTATAGTACCGATGGTATTGTTGAGTTTGGCATATAACATGTAAGAATATTTCTTTCAGAAACTGCATAAACTTGTGATAATAGAAGATGACGTCCAATCTCTGAGAGAAAAGATGCACCAACAGACCATTAGTTCAAGTGCGTAGTTTGGAATCCGTGTTCATTTCGTAATTATCATATTTAACAATCTTTTTTATGATTTAATTAAGTATTAGCGTAGAGTACAAGTCGAGAGTGGGTCAAACCTGAATTTGTACATTAACATTCATAAGTTTTATAGCATTTATCATTTAATTTATCAATTGTGTGCGTCCGCATGTGTTTAATGTAATAATATTTGACTGCACCCGTACAAAAAAGCAAAAATATGAGTACAAGTATTTTGAGCTTTTTGGGTTATATTTTTGATGTTTTAGTTTATAATTCTATGGTTTATCTATTTACGTAAAACAAGTTTTTAAAATCAGAATTGATAGTATTTTCATCAATTTTCATATCCCGAGATGTGGTGTCACCCATATAAACACACAACGTTTACCGTATTGAGAAATAGCTGTGACTTGCATCATAGTCTAATCATATTAGACAAAAAAAAACGCTGGTCTGAAAAATAATTGTAAAGTCTGGTTTTACTGGTGCAAGTTGTTCAAGAGGGTATTTGAAACAATGACGCATAAAATGGGTACACCAAGTTTGGTGGGAAAACTTTTTATTCAGCAACAAAGAATAAGAAAACGTGTTTTTTGGGATTCAATCGAAAGTGTTGGCAAGAACGAAAAAATTCTTCATAGTAGATTTTTAGCTATTTATGAGACCTAAATATTCATATTTCTAAATAACCACAACCAAATTGGAGTAGATCAGCCAAGTAGTTTTTGAGAATTTCTAATTGCTTATCCCAAAACACATTTTATAGCAAAATACACGAGTTTACCTTACCGATATGAATCGCAAACCATTCAGGAAGATAAATGTTATTTTTATGCAAAAAAGAATGGGTTACGTTTTTTCTTCTAAACAAATTCAAACATTCCGTATTTGTGAGTAATTTGGAATAAACGCTCCGCTGGTTTTTAAAATGTGTAGTAACGTATGTTTTTTAAATATCGTAGCGCATTTGTTCAATTATTCACAAAATACGAAATGTTTGAATTTGTTTAGAAGAAAAAAACGTTAGATTAGTTCTGTTGCAATGGGTGTTTATAATGTTGCCAGATGTCAATGTTTGCTTGTATTGTAATATTTTGTACATATTGTATAATTCCTCATACTACAAGCAATGAAAACAAGAGGTCTTACACACGTTAATTCTTGATTACTTAGGAATGAGAGCTGCGACCCAAACAAATTTGGGTGGAATTCTCTGATACAGGAATTTTTACCGCATTCTGAACCACGCATTCTAAATTAACAAAGAATTTACGTGTGTTCGGATCTAAATGTAAAATCTCTAGACCAACAAAAAAATGTACATATCAATACTTAAAATATGTAACGTCTAGCATGTATTTTATTTAAGTGTGTGTATCTCAAAGAACTTACAATTCTTGTAAAGTAATATGGAGTATGTTAATAAATCAGGTATTAATTTTTGCTTTTATCTTTGTTTGCCCCAATATACGTCCTAACTATACGGCTTGGCCATCCAAAAATACCATTTTCGTTTTACATGGCTATAAACGGAAACGTGGCAATTTGGGGCTCACAGCTTTCACTTCCCACGCTTACTGATGCGGGAAATATATACTGATATGTGCGTAAAATTGCTGGAGATGGAAGTGTATAAACGAACTGCCCCAACAAAATGAGATATACCTAATCTCACCTATAACCTTCAACCCCCAATTTTCAATCCCTACAATTTTTTTTCTGAAATTGTTCAGGAGCCTCCGAAACGTCAAAAAACGAAGTTTTACCGATTATTATTTTTCCGTGTCTTTGCCCACTGGACCGATTTCCAAAAACTACAAAGATTGTCGTCCTTGCCATACTAGTAACCTTGTGCGAAAATTTCATCCAAATATTAGCTGTACTTTCCACGTTATTGGCGGTCCAAAGATTAGCGGACAGACAGACGAAAATGAGTGCGTGGGGGCTCGCCCCTCTGAACCTGCTCTTGGTTTCCTGACCTAGGCAGGTACTTTCAATTCTCCGAAAAATGCTTCCCTATCGTTTCTATGTGGGGTATTTTGCAGTAGCTTTTCAGATATTTTACTTCGTAATTGAATCATCCCTCATACACGAAATGTCGACCTAGACATTCAGGTAATTAAAAATTGATGTTCCAATAGGCACGACCACAAACACCTGCCTCTTTATTTATTCCATCATCAAAATGTGGGCACTTCAACTTTTTCTTTTTATCAGTTGTAACAATGAAGCGGAACTTAATCCTAGTCTCAATCCTTGTGTTCAAACTGAATTTAGCATTGGCACTTTCTAACGAAACAAACATTTCAAAAAGAGCCTTGCAAAAATCTCACGAAAAACCTCAATGGCTGAAATGGGCAGAGACTTTCATGGGTAAAGCAACAGTGGATCAAGAAGCTTACTTAGTGAAACTATTAAAAAAAATCACACAAGAGTACTTAAGTGATTGTACACCTGTGATACTATACGATGCTTACGCAGAACATTATAATAACCTACTATTGGAGAAGTTGTTGAGGAACTATCCGAAAAGTTACATGCACGGGAGGATAACAGATGACTATAGCATTACTATCCAAAGGGCTGTATATGAAGACAGACCTACTTGCTTGAGCTATATCTTGTTTATGAAAGACATCATGAAATGCAAAAAGGTGATTGGAGAACAACCATACTCGAAAGTGATTGTTGTTGCTAGATCATCGCAGTGGAGAGTCTCTGACTTTTTATCACAGCCAGAGTCTCATAGTTTTGTTAATTTGCTGGTAATTGTGAAATCTGAACATATCATGGCTCAAGGAGTGGTAAGTACAGAGTGGGGCAAAATCAACGTTATGATTCATATTCTTTATAATATTGAAGTGAATGTGTTTTATGGCGATTTACCGACAAATGTGGAAGATAATTTAATTTATCTAACTTTTAAAGAACATGTTCGAAATGGCCTCCATTATTTTCTATACCTAAGCGGCACCTTCTTCTAATAAAATTGTCCTTTAGTCTTTAAAATGAATTTGCGCTTTCCATAATTTTATTTTTGCTTTATCAATTTTCTGGCGCAGTTGATTGACATTTGTATATTCAGATGTATATATTATCCTCCTCCTATAAAGCCCCCATATAAAACAATCTAGAGGATTTAAATCGGGTGACCTTGGAGGCGATCGTATGTGTCCACCTCTACCTATCCAACGCCCAGGAAAGGCATTGTCTAAGTAATGCCGTACAAATTAAATACGTATGGATCGTGGGTGATTGATTGCACTGAGGAATTATCACTCGCGTTCCTATTTCTCTTGTAATCGCCAAATAATGTTAGAGAAATACTTCAGTAACTTTTGTAGACTAACTTTTATTGAGACATCAGCAACAGTTGAGAACAGAAGAACAAGTAACGAAATGAGTACAGAGAATGGTCAAAGACCCTTTTTATATTATAAGATTACACTACGAATTTTCCAGAAATCAGTAGTCTCACGAGTATGGGACGGTGTTATACTCGTAGGGATTTAGATGGTGTTAATGCTTTAAGGATACCATAACTCCTTCCCACGGTGAAAAAGATTCGTCTCGAATCAGACAAAATTAAGCTAAAGGTATTTCCTCAGCGGGTTTAGAAATTGGAGTTGTGGGTGGAACTTTGGTGTCCTTTACATAACGATATTTTACAAATACAATAATAAAAATGATTAAAAATATAAGAATACAGAATAAAATGATAGGATAATTTACAGTAGATCTTTAATGTAAATTCTGAAAGCTGACTTGCAAAGAGGTAAGGTTTTGATGAAAATAAGATTCCAGTGAAACATTTGTTTTCTGAAACTGATATTGCGTACTTTTTGCTGCATAAGCAATTTCTAACTTAATCTGAAATGTGGAATCAAATTCTAAAGTTTTATGATTAATTAAAGTATTACATTCTAAAATAATATGTGTCGCATAATGTATAAAAGAAGTACCTTTACAGTCTTTTATCTTTGTTAGTTGATTAGTATCAATTATATAATTATTTTTATTCAATTCTAATATTCTCGTGTAGTTTGTTAAGCTTTCAGACTCACACATTTCGAACCTCTGTGGTTGACAGGGAGACTGGAAAGTACTTTTACAAACATACAGTTGATTACTGAGTTTAATAATATCAGAACAATAATAATTCTTTTCATAAGTTAATAAATACTCACTTTGCAGAGTAATAAGTTCATGATGAATAGAAATCGCAAATAATTTATACAATGTAAATTCCTTAATATTCAAAATGGGAAACTTAATTACAAATATAATTTCATCTTGTAAACAAATACCTAATAGACATTTGAGAGAGGTCATAGATTTCGAATAAATGAATGTAATCAAATGGTAATAATTGTTCCTTTTTATAAATGTTTTGTAAATGTTCAATAAGTAGACTTACTTGATGATGCTTTAATTGCAAGGTATTGAGACCAGATTTTTGGTTCAACTGAATGGCAAGTAATAAAGAATTTAGATAATTGTTAAATTGTTGCATGTTAGTAATGATAGAGACTTGATGTATCATTTCATGCGAGAGTAAAGTTTGCTGTTCAATAGTTTGAGCGTTGTGTAAAATAACACACTGAATACGTTTAGTATTTTCTTCAAAAGTTTTCTGTAGAGACTGACAAAATGAAATAGTCTTTTGTTGACTATCCAATAAGTCAACTTGATTATTTCTGAGAGCTTCTTGATTTTTAGTAATTTGTTCTAAATCATCTTGGTCTAAATTTCCAGAAATGAATCTAATAACAGATCCTAATCCATTAATTAAACCTCTTCTTACTCTGTGTCGAGTGAGAGTTTCAAATTTGGACATGATATCGTTATACAGATTTCTAATTTGATTGTCTAAAGGTGTAGGAATCATTTGATAAATTTGAATTAGAGTTTGAAAGAGTTCCATGGTATGGCGAATGTCAGTAAGATTAATAGTAAAGTAGACCTTATGATAATGATTAATTAACTTAGCATTTCCTAAACGGATTTGCTGGATTGGTTGCAAGTAATTTTCGGAGACGATGTTGACGGTAGTGATTGTGGTAACGCATCTTAAACAATACGAGGTGGTTTGAGTTTCTTAATCACATGAGTTCTATTTTTAACTTGGATTTTGTCACTATTTTGACGATAGGAAGTAACTTTATTATATTTGGGAAGGTTTTTGGATCGTCTAGTATGGTCTTGTGGTTGCATAAAGACTGGGCCTTTGAGAATAGGGATTTTGGACACCTAATATGAATGAGGAAAGAGCTAAACTTTCGTTACGTTCAATAAGGACGGACCTAATTGCTTGTCCTCAATGAGCAAGGCTTATGCATTCATTCATTTCTCTTAATTTATCTAGAACTCGTTCATAAAATTGACGGTAAGTTTCGGTGTTACTTCGCTTTAACATAGTCATTTCATTTGACAAGACTGTTTCATTTTTAGTATCTTTATAATTTCGAATAAGAACATCACGAGCTTCGACCCATGAAGTGGCACCGTGATTTCTGACCTTTTCGAGAGCTTGATCTCGAATAATTAACATGACCAATTCGACAGCACGCTCTTCGAATTCTGTGTTTTGGAATTTTGTAATGAACAACTCACTTTCTCGGATAAAGGTAGACAAATTATTTTGGTTAGGAGGCAATTTTGGCAGAGAGTCTTTAAGACTCCTGAATCGTAGTTCAAGCATTCTGTAACGTTCATTACCATTCGGTTGTGCCATTGTGGTTTTAGAATTTGAAATATTTGAGTCAAGAGGAGGATCACTAGAACTAGAACTTAAACGTGGATAAGTGTAAGGGGAGTATGAACTCTCTCTACTAAATCGTCTAACAAGAGGCATAAAAATACAATCTTAAAAATATTTAAACACCAAGCAAAAATGTAGCAAAAATCAAATATTTTCACAAATAAGTCGTCTTTTTCTCCAAATGGTATTTCTTCTTTGTACAATATCAATTAATATCAAAATCTTCTTATATTTTTTTTCAATTTCTTCAATAAAAATCTTCTTACTTCTTAATAAACTTTCTAAATCTACTTACAATGACGTGATCAGCATCGATTTCGCCAAGGGACCCATTCGTTTTGTTTTCTGGTTGTTCTGGATGCAAAAGTTTTCTCCAAAAAGGTACTGGAACATGTGTGGTCTTACCGGCCACTAGGATGAACTTGGGACAGGAACTTGAGAGGTCTTTCCGGCCTCGGAACTCGTTCACAGGTTTCAGTAGCGATACCCAATTGCAAAAGTTTGAAAACTTTTACCTTCTAGCTGGCTTCTCAGTGAATCTTCGTGATTTCTGACCAAGTCACACTACTTGATGAAGGCTGGGCATCCTGTTCGCAGCGCCAAATGAATACGTGTGGATCGTGGGTATTTCTCTTATAATCGCCAAATGATGTTAGAGAAATACTTCAGTAACTTTTGTAGACTAACTTTTATTGAGACATCAGCAACAGTTGAGAACAGAAGAACAAGTAACGAAATGAGTACAGAGAATGGTGAAAGACCCTTTTTATATTATAAGATTACACTTACGAATTTTCCAGAAATCAGTAGTCTCGGGTAAAAATGCAACATCACATCCTGTCTCACGAGTATGGGACGGTGTTATACTGTTATACTCGTAGGGACTTACATGGTGTTAATGCTTTAGGGATAACATAACTTACATCCCGTACAACGTGGTATGGGGCACCATCGCATTTGAAATACATGCGGCTTCGAACGTCCAAAGGTACATCCTCTAGCAGCTCATGCAAACTGCTTTGTGGAAAAGCAAGGTATGACTGCCCATTCAACTTACAAGCTACAATTTTCAATAACCTCCACAGTTTAAAAATATTAATGGTAAAATACTTACGTTGTTTTATCAGGAAATAAGGTTAGTGGTATAATTTTTCATTGCTTATTATCGAAAATTACACTTACTTATTAGCATGCCACATGTTTTGGTATATTTAAGGTACATAGGAGAAAGTCTAATTTCCCGTTTCATAAGCCACGAACCACCATCAAATAATGCATAGGCTTATCCGTTCAACGTCCTTCAATACTCAGCTGAAGAACAATCCACGTGCTTATGTGGCTACCATGCATCAAAATATATTATTTAAAAAAAAATTGACATTGCGTGTTATTACGTCTTTATAATATCTATATGAAATGCTATTTAAAATATCAAGCGTATATTTAAAAAAAGGGACACTAGATCCCGGGTGGTTTATGAGCAATCACACGACGCCGTACATCCATGACTTCAAATTGTTTATTTCTGAAGGCGAGATTTGAACCCACGGCCCGACCGGCCGCGGATCGGCGGCACGGCGCTCATACCCACCCGGCCAACCTAGCTTCCCACCAACCTGTCTAAGCGGAGTGTTATTTGAAAGGAAAAAAGGCAGTGGCGGACTTAGAGAGGGGCGCGGTGGGCGCGCGCATCCCCCTAGAGTCTGACACTTGCTTTTGTAATCCCGCACCATTGTGTTACTTTCTGACACATCATGGCAACAGATGCATACTAACTATAAGTTATAGCTATAGAAACTGAGCATTGCGATTTTTTGGTATCCTTTGGTATTCCAATATCATCAGTTACGTTTACAGCAAAATTCTTACGATTTATACGTATACAGAGTGTAAAGTTAGTAGTGGATCAAAGGAGGTCAGGTGATAGAGTGCCTCAAAACCTATCGAATGAACCCCTATACGTGTGGTCCGAAATTTTATAGTTCAGGACAT